GCAATAAGCAGCTATGAAGCAGAGACAGAAATGTGCTGTATACTTCCTGAGGTGTATAGGTTTTTGTATCCAGTCTGGATGGAATACATTTGTCATTATATGATTATCATGTCTATGATGGGTAGAGTCACCTTGGAAACTATATAAATGTACAGAAAATTCCTTCTGCTCTCCATTCCCCCCCACCACCAAATGTCTTTTCTTTCAGGTTCTTACACTGTGTAATATGTCTAAGGGCTGCTCTGTGGGTTCTTGAGCTTCCTAACTAGAAAGGCTCAAAAAAAAGCGCCCAAATTCACAGCATAGGGAAGTTGCAGGACAGATAACAATTACCAGATTTCTGACTTGGGATCTGAATTGTGTTGTATTTCTGACTTGGAGCAGGATTGTAGGTCTCCACTTACCTTGTTGGTGACAGTGCTGTTGTCAGTGCACATGTGGGCCCTACCAGCCCAGGGGAAGCTGCTGGAGGGTGCTGGACTGCACTGCACTTCATAAAGCTGAGCAATGCCAGGTGGCACCAGCGCTGCTGCCGCGGGCTGAGTGTGGCACACAGCACTTGCCCGTGCTCAGATTCACAATGGAAAGCCCAAGGGATTGCTGGTCAGCTGGAGTGGTCCAAAATGTGGCAAAGCTGGATATCTGGGGGAGAATGGATATAAAAGAAGGCCAAACTGGTGGATACTTGATACTGAGCAGAGAGAGAGAGAAAGAATCTGATATGGAGAAAAATCAGGTATGTGACAGCCAGGAGAGGCCATTTTGTTAAGAACTGAGGGAAGTAAGTAGAGTCCAGTACAGGCATTGCAAAGCAGGAATTTGGCTCTTTCACATAATTAACTTCCATTGTTTAGAGTACAGCAAAACATAAACTCCCAACTCAGCAAAAAACATGAAGTTGTGCTTTTTATGTCAGCTGATGTTTTCCAAGCTGACTGTTATTTTTGAAGGTTAGAAAAAATCTAGGCATTTCTTTCCTAAGAACTAAATGACAATTTAGATACTTTATGGAATTACTAGAAACTCAAGAAAACAAGGCAGAAACAAATAGATAATAGATTTTTCTGAATGTTAATTTATTTTGGATTTTTCAGATTCTTTGAATTTCACAGGGTTTTTTTTTTCTTTATCATTAAAATAGAGAAAAAGTTCTAATAATTTTTTTCTTAACATAAGCCAAGAAGAACCTCATATTGACAAGACAGAAATTGAATACAGAAGAATTTTCACTGCTCTTTCACTGTCATAAAGTAAAATTTACATAATTTCTTACTTGAGCAGAATCTTCAGTACAATGACTGGGATAAATCCTTTCCCTTACAGAAAGATATAAGAATGAAAAGTAATCGCATTCCTCTCCACAGACATTACAGACTTTGATCACTTATAATCCCACTCAAGCTATCTGTACTTATGATCTTATGTTATGTTCCAGAGAACAGTGTAAATCATTCTTATCAGCCAAAAACACAAGGCCAGCTGGTTACATTCCAAAAACAAAACCATGCTAACCATGTTTTTCTGACAGGTTATAGCCCATGTGCTGTTCCTGGCTTAACGACTGAAAATATTTATTTGTGTGCAAACTTCCACATTTTGAGTAACGCCTGAAAACATACGCAGCAAGAAGATGGTTAGGACAGATACACCCTGGTAAAGATGGATGCTTGCCTGCCTTTCTCATCTTCCCCTTATCCTCTCTGTGAACCTGCAGTCTTCTTTCTCTTATATTACCCCTAAAATACATAAGAGTGGTTGTATTCCCATTTTTCTGACTCAGAATGCAAAAGGACTGGCAGGTGGAAGGAAGGGAAGCACATAACAAATGCAGGACCACCACCGCACCTCTGCATTCCACAGCTCCACTGCTGCTTCCACTCCACCTGAAGTACTGTGTTCTCCTCTGGAGTCCCCAACATAAGAAGGATGTGGATATGCTGGAGTCCAGAGGAGGCTACACAGATGATCAGAGGGTTAGAACACCTCTCCTACGAAGACAGGCTGAAAGAGTTGGGGTTGTTCAGCTAGAAAAGAGAAGCCTTCCAGTACCTACAAACAACCTTCCAGTACCTACAAAAAAGATTAAGAACATTTTCCTAGGGCTTGTGGTGACAGGCCAAAGGGGAGTGGCTTCAAACAAAGACAGTAGGCATGGATTAGGTATGAGGAAGAAATTCTTTGCTGTGAGAGTGGCAGGACACTGGACCAGTCAGCTCAGCAAGGTTGTGAATGCCTCATCCCTTGAGTGTTCAAGGGCAAGCTGGATGGGGCTCTGAGCAACCTGGTCTAGTGGAAGGTGTCCCTGTACACAGCAGGGGGTGGAACAAGATGGTCTTCAAGGTCCCTTCCATCCCAAACCATTCTATGATTCTAGTCAGCAATTCAGAAAAGGGAAAATATTTGCTTGCTTACAGATGATTTCCACTACACATCCACTTTCAAGTCTTCCAGCCCCAGGCAACAAGCCCAGGAGAGAAAGACAGGGCTGCATACGGAGGGAAGAAGAAAAGTTATTAAGTTTAATATTTTGAAGCCCTGGGAATGTGGTTACTGCTGCTGCTGTCCTGCTGTGTTTGCTTTTTGAGTCAATTACATATCTTTAGTGAAATATATTAATTGCCACACTACAGCTTTGGTAAGTATCTACATACTGAAAAAAAATAATAATAACAATAATAAATAATAGTATAATATTTATTATAATAAACAAAAATAATATTTCTAGAAGGAACTACATTACATCTACCAGTGATTGACCACCATGTAATAATGAGGAAAGATAACTGGAATTTAAAACATGAAAAAAGTTAAGTGATAGGAAGTTTCTAGGGGAAGCACAGAATCCATTATATTTTTAATATTCTTTAAGCTATATGATACAATTAAACAAGGAGAAGTGTTGTCAGAAGTATTCAAATTTTTCCCGCGTCCACTTATAGATTTAATTTCAGTCCCAAAGAACACCTAATTAAGCCCTTAGCAGCATAAATCATTCTTTTTAAAAAATGTGGAAATTAAAATATTTTTTCTGATTATTTGATGAAACAAACCATTAAAAATTCATCAGTTGTTGATAAATAAAATGTGCAGCAGACAAATAATATGCCTACCAGTCAAGCTATCTTTGTAGGAATTAAGGAAATCTAAAATTGGCAACATGGGCCACTTTTTGGATAATTGTGATAGACAAGAGATCTGGACATTCCTATTCTTTGCAGGAATCACCATTTCCAAATGTAGACTAACAGTTTCTCTCTATCATCATTTCATTACAAATGTAAGCATTTTAAACTCACAGATACAAAGTTTATATGTGATTTATATGGCTTTAATATGGGATGAAATAATATTTTTCTTATGGTGGAAAAACAGTTGGAATATATTGGAATATGTTTAAATAATGTTTATTCAATGGACATGTGTGCAACATGAGAGAAAAGATTTGTCTCTATCTTTGCCATGTTTTGGAAAAATACTTGCATTTGATTGTGGGTTTTTTATGTGGTGTTACCTAACAATTTTTATTAGAATTGCATCCATTTTCATAATCAGAAACTTATATTATTTCAGTACTTGTTATGATGATCTGTACTCATTATGTTCTTACTTATTCTCCTTCCATGGATGTAAACAGCAAACCATGCTCTGAATCTGCCTTGCAGACCAGTGAATCATGGTTGTGATATGAACCAATGGTTGCATGACAGGCACGTGTTGGTTTCTTATTCACTAAAGACCCAATCTGATCAAGAGTGGAAAGCAAAAATGATCAATCCTTTCTCCCAAACCATCTCCTTTTTGGTCTGAACCATTAGAGAAATTCATGCATTTCAAAGTTGCTTAGGTTCCAAAAAAATGCAAATACAAATCCATTTGTATTCTACTGACTGCAAAAATAAGGTAAAAAACCCCAGACATACTGAACAAGAATCTCTAACACGTAAAAGCAATAAAAGCCATAATAAAATTATGACCATTTAGCCATGCCTTGAAGAGACAGAAGGCACCATGAGCTTGCTTTTAGAAAAGTGACTTGCACAGCTGGAGACTTAAGTGAGCTGATTTTTCTGATTTAATTCTAAATGTGTATTTTACAGGTGTTTAAATATAAGTAGCCTCCATATGCCTTCTTTACAGTCAATGCAGAGAAAGGGCACTTTCAGGATGCAATTCATCGGTCCTGTTTTCAGCACCTAGTCTAAAATGAGATTAATTGCAAGCACATATTTCTCTCAATAGGCAGTGCAGGTGTCTAGGTGAGTAAAATGTCTAGATGAATTATTGGAGATACCTACACATGGTAAGATGGATCCCATCCTTAGATGCAATCCTTAGATGATTTGACTCACATGAGTCAAATTATAAGCTGGGGAGAACATAGTAGAACCCTTGTGTATTCCTCTAGACAAATGTCTAAAGATCCTGAATTGTGTGAGAAAAAGAACTCTCAAATCAAAACATGATTTTACAGGAAGAGTGAAATGGGAATTATGAGACAGGTGAATGGCTTGCAAGGGCATGAACTTGTATATTTTAACTAAATAGTCTGAGTCACATACTGAGAGATGTTGAGAGATGCCAAAATAAGTAGTCAGGTGCTTAACTCAGCACTTAATTCTGTGCTTGGTAAGACTCCAGAAACAGAAAAAGAGTTTCTAGAGCTTAGGAAAACACACCTGGACAGTCCCATCAGACTATCAGAAGAGTTCAGCCACCTGATACAAGAGAAAGACTAAAACATACAAAAAAATTTAGAGAGGCTTTCATTCATCTTAGCTGCTCTTAGCTTATACAGCCCCTGATAGAAGAAGGGAGCTCCACATACACCATCCCATAAAAGAAATTACTTACACTGACAGCAACAGGAGTGGTATTAAGAAATAAGGCATTAATGGCTAAGTAATTTTCCAAATCTGTTCACATCTGAATGTAGAATCAAGCCTCCTGCCCAAGCTGAAAAATGCCTGCCTTCTGAAATACAAATGTTAGATAAACAGATGAAAAAAAGTATGCAGATTATGAGTCACGCTGTAATAAGTAGCATTCTCACTTAGCTGGATTTAATTCATGATACAAGGGAATTTATGGCTACAGTCAGTCTGATGGCTCACAAATATCAGTGACCTCTTTACCAAAAACAAAACACTGTTTGCCAGATAGCAACTGCCTATAGTCATAAAAGGGAGAGAGAGGGAAAAATAAAAAACTTCTACTTACATAATTATTTATCCTTAGCAGATGTTTACACCATATTTATCATCAAGTCTTTGCTTGCAAGAAAAATAGGTAATAATAACAGGCAATATTTTTTAAACAGGGTTCTTCAAATTCAACAGGAAAGTGTCAAAATTAAAATAGTAGTAAGAATGTCAGCTCTCAAGAGCGGAAAACAAACAAACAAGCAAGTGTATTTAAAGAGACATTTCAGAGATTAAAGTTCTCTTAAGGGAAGATAATATTTCCCTATTCTCCCTGCACCCCAAAAGGCTTGGATGAGACCACTTAGATATGTATAACTGCACTCAGAAAACCTTGAATCAATATTTAATATTACAACTTTAATTGAAAACCAACACCATAATAATAATAATAATAATAAGTGAGCATCAGCACTCTGAACTGCACAGAAAGCAAGTTCTGCAGCCAGGTTGAAAGCTCCTCTACAGGAATTCCCAAGGGAAATCACAGAGGAAGTGTTTACCTCATTTAGAAAAGGGCACAAACAGTGAATCTTTCCTTACTCTCAAGGGACTCCACAGAAAACAATATATCTGACTAAAGAGAATGAGATTTGCATGATGTATTTGGACTCATGTTAACTCCTCTCGCAGTGTGGTGTGTCAGCACCTTGTCTGATTCTAAGGGAGCCACATATTGCATACAGAAAGCAAGTTTTGTAACTGTCTAACTTAGGAGAAAAACAGTAACTGAAAAATTTATTCTCTGCTACAATAAAAATGAGTATGAAGTAACAAACAAGGAAGTGATTTACATCATCCTTTATTCTTTTCATCAGCTGAAGTATAAAACTGACTCCCCATTAACCTCTCACTTCCTCAGCAATTTAATGGCTTTCTAAGTATAGAAATGCTCTTTCATTTTTTAAGAATGTCAGTATGAAAGCTTATGGGTTGCAGTTTCGCCCAAAATTATGGCAGTTCACCTCTCCAAAAGTTCCAGCCATTATATTGAAAACGAGAGCCTCCAAGTACCACTGGAGGTGGTGACTTCTAAATTACAAGATGCAAGTGCTCAAAGTGGCCCACTTTATGCTTGCTCCAAGTACGGCACCCGACGAACAGCTTCTGAGAGGATAAAAATGCACAATTGTTGCAGCTGCAATCGCTCTGCCGGCCAGGCTGATCTATTTATATTTTAGTGAAATCAGCACCGAAATAACTGCTTTTCAGACCGACAAAAACTCCGACTGTCCAAAGACTTCAATCCCCTCAAAATAACGCCGCTACCCGCTCCTGCGTTTGATAATGTCCAAGCCCTGCCCAGCGAAGTCCCGCGGCGCCTCTCCCTCGGCTCCCCGCGGCAGCAGGGCTGGGGGCAGGAGGGACGCGGGGAGCCGAGCGCTGGCCCGGGGGCAGCTGCCGCTCGGGGCAGCCCCGAGGGACGCGGCCTCGGCGGTCCGGGGCTATTCACGCCCCGCTGCTCCGCCGGGCTCCGCCGAGCCTGCCTCCGCCTTGCTGCCGGCCTCCGGCGGCTCCTTGTCGCCGCGGCCCTCGGACTTCTTGTTAAAGCAGATTTTGAACACCCCCAGGACGGTCATGACCAGGATGATCAGCACCACCACAGCGACTGCCACCAGGATGAAAACGTAGTTGGAAGAGGAGGAGGAGGAGGAGGGCGGCGGAGCAGCCGTCTTCTCTCCGCCGACGGCGGCCGTGGCGGTGGCGGGCGGCTCCGTGGAGCGGCCGGGTGTCGGAATGGAAGGACGCCGCCCCTCCGCCCTGGCACCCGACGGTTCCGTGGGGCCACCTGTAGCGGTGGGGGCCGGCCCTGTGCCCGGGCAGGGAGTTCCATCCGGACCGCCCGGGATGCAGGCACAGGCGAAACTGCCGGCTGCATCGCGGCACCCGGCGGCCTCGGCGCACCGCCCGCTGTCGGGGCTCCTGCGGCCGAAGGGGCAGGGGCAGAGGGGCTTCTCTGCCGCCTTCCAGGCGAAACCGCCCGGCTCGGGCTGGCAGGTGAGCCGCACGTCCCCGCCGGGACACGCCACTGTCAGCACGGTGCCCGGCGGGCTGAAGCCGGGGCCGCCGCTGCGCTCCTCGAAGGGGAGCCGATAGTCGAGGTCGAGGGCGCCCGCGGGACTGAGGTCGGGGCAGGCACCCTCGTACCGGTACTTGCAGAGGTAGCCTGGGCTTTTCAGCCGGCAGACTCGCTCCTTCCAGCCCCATGAGGCGTCAGCCGCCAGGTGCAGCCCAGCGCAGCGGGCGGTGAGGCAGGACCGCAGGGGCTCCTGCAGCCACCGGTCGAGCGCCGCCGGCACCTCCCGCGGGGCCGTCCCACCCCCGACGCCCTCCCAGGAGAAGCCGCGGAGCGGCTGCTCGTTGTGGGTGCAGGCGGAGGCGTTCCTCTTCAGCCCGACCCAGAAGAACGCGGGCGCGGGCATCGCCGCCTCTGCCAGCAGGTCCAGCAGCAGGCGCAGCTCCGGCTCGCTGCTGACCCAGGCGAGGCTGCCCCGCCGCTGGTCGCAGGCGCCGCGGGCCTCGGCGTACGAGACGTTGGCGAGGTGGGCGCTGAAGCAGGCGCCGGCCGACAGGCAGCGCACGGCGCCCCGCGGGGGCGGTGGGGTCCGGCCCAGGGCGCAGGCCGCGGCCAGGAGCAGGCACCAGGGCCCGGCCCGCCTCATGCCGGCGGCGGGACGCGGCGGGCTGAGGGACGCCGGCTGCCCCTGCGGCTGTGGTGGCGTTCGGACCCGGCTTGGACTGGCCTCTGCTGCCCGCGCCGTCCCTCTCCAGCGCCGGCCCCGCTGCCATGGCCCTCCCCCGGACCTGCCGGAGGAAACGTGTCGGGAGCCGTGGCTGACCTCGGCATCCTCCGTTTGTTGGAGGGCCCAGGACAAGCAGCTCCCGGCGCCGCCAGGAAGCGCTCGCCCAGCCCGGCGGGCGGGTGTCCAGCCGCCGGGTAGGACGCTGCCTTCTCCGCTGTCGGAGGGACAGGAGGGTGGCGAAGCCCTGAGCCGCGGCTGTCGGACCGAGGTCACGGGCCCGGTTTTAGGCCCGTGCCCCCGAGATACCTGGGCCATCTTGCTAGCTTGTTGCACAGCGCTTTCTGGAGAAAAGCGGTCCAGCTTCAGTTATCTCTTCCTTGAAGGATGTAGGTTTCTTGGTTAGGTGAAGCTGTGCAATCAACCCCGTAGCTCCCGAACCAGGGGGCCATTTAACAGTCACAAAATTTGATTCAGCTCTCGGTTTTCCAGCAGGCTGGCCTAAATGCATCATGCATCAGGTGCCTGCATTGATTTCGGTAGTAGTTCCTGAATGAGCTTCACTGATCCACTGCAACTGTTCCTCCGAATGTAGTTTTTGCCTCATTTTCTTACTTCTTACTATTATTTCTGTGTGCTGTTGCCTGACATGTACATTCATGTACAGCATGGATCTGAGTGTCTTCCCAGGTATTTCATGTGGCATGGAACTGCAGGCATATATGTGCATTTTGTTTTCCAGGTTTTACTTTGGAAAAACCCATGCCAATGTTTTTGGTTTTGTGATTAAAACATAATA